TTCGGCCTGTTCTGATTGAACCGGTTGAATTTCGACACGTACAGTTGTGGCCAAAATTATTCAACCCCCACTGAAATTGAGTGTTTTGGCCAGTTTGACATTGCTTTTGATCATTCAGTCATCTTGCTTACATTTACATTAAAGAGGCACTTGTAGGTCAGACAAATATAACATAACAGTTATAATGAAATAACCACAAATGTCTTTTCTGTGCTCACAGCATTATCAGTTTTATTCAACCCCCAAGTGACATTCAATCTTAGTACTTAGTACAGCATCCTTTTACAGTTATAACAGCTTTTAAACGTGAAGCATAGCTTGACACAAGTGTGTCTTGCAGCGATCTACGGGTATCTTCGCCCATTCTTCATGGGCAAAGGCCTCCAGTTCAGTCACATTCTTAGGCTTGCGCACTGCAACTGCTTTCTTTAAGTCCCACCAGAGGTTCTCAATCGGATTTAAGTCTGGTGACTGCGATGGCCACTCCAAAATGTTCCAGCCTTTCCTCTGCAACCATGCTCTAGTGGACTTGGAGGTATGCTTGGGATCATTGTCCTGTTGAAAGGTCCAACGTCTCCCAAGCCTCAGGTGTGTGACGGACTGCATCACGTTTCCATCCAATATCTCCTGGTACTGAAGAGAATTCATGGTACCTTGCACACGCTGAAGCTTCCCTGTACCTGCAGAAGCAAAACAGCCCCAAAGCATGATTGACCCTCCACCATGCTTCACAGTAGGCAAGGTGTTCTTTTCATCATAGGCCTTGTTCTTCCTCCTCCAAACATAGCGTTGATCCATGGGCCCAAACAGTTCTAATTTTGTTTCATCAGTCCACAGAACACTATCCCACAACTTTTGTGGTTTGTCCACATGGCTTTTGGCATACTGCAGTCGACTCTTCTTATTCTTTGGAGACAGCAAGGGGGTACGCCTGGGAGTTCTGGCACGGAGGCCTTCATTACGCAGTGTGCGTCTTATTGTCTGGGCTGAAACTTCTGTACCCACATCTGACAAATCTTTTTCTCAGTTCCTCAGCAGTCACACGGGGACTTCTCTCCACTCTACGCTTCAGGTAGCGCACAGCAGTCGAAGTCAGCATCTTCTTTCTGCCACGACCAGGTAGCGTTTCAACAGTGCCCTTTGCCTTGAATTTGCGAATGATGCTTCCTAAGGTGTCTCTTGGTATGTTTAACATCTTTGCAATCTTCTTATAGCCATTGCCCTTCCTGTGAAGAGAAATCACCTCTTCTCTTGTCTTCCTGGACCATTCTCTTGCCTTCACCATGTTTGTAACCACACCAGTAAATGTCTAGAAGGAGCTGAGTATCACAGTCATTTTAAAGCTGCCTAATTGGTGCTTATTATGCTTGATTGCTACATCCACAGGTATTTTCAATACCTGATGGAAAGCACCTGTATGAACCTCTGTTCTTCAGAGTGGTAGTCTTTAAGGGGTTGAATAATTGTGGCAATGAAGAAACCACATAAGAACCATTTACTACTGTATTACATAAACAATTGATGTCATTTTAGTTGCATTTGGGTAGTTACAACGTCCTTGTAGGATTTGATTCTGAATACAATTCCAAATGTACACTATAGTCCCTAAACCCCTTTACAGCATTGGGGGTTGAATAATTTTGGCCACAACTGTATATACCCAGCTAAAGAGGAGATTTCCTGTCACTTTGCAAAGATGTCTTTGACTTCTTGTTGCATCTTTAGGGCAGCGGAAACACATATGCCAATAAACCTGACAGTTTTGATAGCTCTAATAAACTAGAAAAAAAAATTGGGGTTTTAGATGCACTCTGGATGATGCCGTTCTCTGCAGCGTTTACCACCAGCTCTCCTTTTTTGCATTATTTAACGCACATGCTTAGTGACACTAGGCTGGAACGTGTGCTGCCTCCGGGCATCAAATAAACCAGATGAAGTGAATTTCATCACAAAGCTCTGCTTATCCTCCTTTAAAGGGTTAGTTCATCTTTACATAAAATAAAAATGTAAAAGGTGAACTAACATTGGACACCCTCCCCCATCACACTGACCAATCAGAATTGATCTGATCCGTGCTGCACCGAGAAGGAGTAGGAAGAGGATTTCAAATCCTCAGACTGTTAGAGCGGCTGTGGGGATGCTGGTAGGCACAACAGGGTTGAGGGGGTGGGGAAGGGTGTCAGGTGTTAGTTCACCTTTACATTTTGTCTGGAAGGCTGGCCATAGATTATGCAATTCTTTCCTTCAACCACAGGATGGAAGAAAGAAAATCGCTCGATTCCCCGCAATCAACACTGACTGTCCCGTGGAGCTATTGAATTCGGACATTGGGAGGTTTCCCCGGCATCAGAATGCAATGATCAGTGCTGCTGGTTACAGCTGGCAGTGATTGCATGAAAAAAAAAAAAAAACTGGTTATACTGAAGTCGATCAATAGATCGATGTCAGTACAACCAGCCTGCCCAGAGATGGGTTGAACTTCGGCCTGTTCTTGCTGAACTGGCTGAGATTTTATCTGTCTATTGCAAGCGTAAAGGTAAACCAACACTTTAACCCCTTGATGCCAACTGCACCAAATGAGCAGCCTCACAGAACTGGGCATTTTTCCGTGGGGCCACTAATTTGTGTACCTGTTTCTGTGTGCTCCCAGCACAAAGATCGGGGTGTCACTGAGAGCCCCGGGTCCCATTCTAACGATCAGGACCCAGGACTCCCAATTCCGGGTCACCTGATCGCTGTGATAGCCTCCTTTTTTTCTCTCTTTGAATGGAGGAGAGAGGTACATTGCATCTCTCTCTGGCCTATCAGAGAGGGAAAAAAAAACAAAAAAAAAAAGTGTGTAAAAAAAGAACAAAAATACCTAGATCAAGGTTTGATCTAGGTCTGTGCCAGGGTTAGTGTTTGGGTCAAGGTCAGGGTCAAAGTTAGTTTTTTTTTTTTCATTTTTAACCACTTCAAGTCCAGACACTTTCACCCCCTTCCTGTCCAGGCCATTTTCAGCTTTCAGCGCTATCACACTTTGAATGACAATTGCGCGGTCATGCAACACTGTACCCATATGAATTTTTTTTGCGTTTTTTGAGACAGATAAAGCTTTATTTTGGTGGTATTTATTCACCGCTGGGGGATTTTTGTTTTTTTTTTTTTGCTATGTAAATGAAAAAGTCCAAAATTTTGCAAAAAAAGTGTTTTTCTTATAACATTTTGCAAATAATAATTTCATCATAAATCTTGGCCAAAATTTATTCCGTTATCTTTTTAAAAAAAAAAAAAAACCCAAATTAGTTTATAACCAAAAATTATAGTTTTTAAACATTTTTGTTTACATTTTTATATTATTATTATTATTATTTTTTTTTACATACTGTCACCCTAGCAGTAGTGTCACCATGGTGACACTGTACTACTTGTGGGGGGTGATGACGATTTTTTTTTTTACACTGATTGCTTTTACACCCATAAAGGCTGGAAAAGCAATCATTCCTCCTCTCTAGCTGCATTCTTGCAGCCATTGAGAACTACCCGCGTGAGCTGTGATTGGTCACAGCTTGCCACATGGTACAAGGCGGTTGTGAATAGCCTTGTACCATGTGACCTCTGTGATCATTCACAGTTTTCACACGTAGTAAGCAATGATGTCAGGAATTGACATACTTGCTTACTACTTTTCATGTGATCACTGATTGGCCACTCAGTGATCACATGATCGGGACCTCACACAGAGGTCCCGTACAGCGATTGGTGTCCAGAGGACACAGCGGGGACTGGATCGCGGTGCCGTGCGCTCCCAGGGAGCATGCACAGGCTGTGAATGAGCGCGCCGTTTATGTACATGGGCCGGAAGGGAAGTGGTTAAGTTAACTGCACCCCAAAAGCGGTCCGCAAAACGTGGTGCGATGTGCAGAATCTGATCACATAGGTGTGAATACCCGTGCGATCCGATTCTAGTGCGGACCAAAAAAAAGGTCCTGCACGTTTTTGGTGCAGTGCGATTAGAGCCATACAGAATGTATGGCTACAATTAAACCGCACACAAATCACATGTGATTTGCACAGGAATGTGGTTACACCCATAAAGGCTGTAAAAGCAATAATTTCTCCACATGGTACAAGGCTGTTGTGAATAGCCTTGTACCATGTGATCTCTGTGATCATTCACAGATTTCACACGTAGTAAGCAATGATGTCAGAAGTGACATCTTGCTTACTACTCTGCATGTGATCACTGATTTGCCAATCAGTGATCACATGACCGTGACCTCGCAGAGAGGACCCGTATGACGATCGGTGTTCCACTGTGTCTGGAGGACACAGCGGGCACCGGATTGCGGTGTGCTGCGCGCTCCCAGGGAGCGCACACAAGCAGGTGGCGGGGAGGCCGTTTATAAACGGCCACCTGACCCCGCACTGCCACCCTGCGGCCGTTTATATACAATGGCTGAATGGGAGGGGGTTAAATTAGTATCAGTGTCAGTTAGTGGCAGGATAAAAAAAAAAAAAAAAAAAAGCAAAATGCGCACTATTGTTTCCAGGCCGTACCACGGGTACAAAGAACAACTAACATACACACTTGTGGCATCGCTGCGATCGTCAGGAGCAGGAGACATTATTTTGGGTTGTTCTTTGGTGGTTGGTTATGGCAGCAGCAAAAAATATACAGCTCAATTTAAAAAAAATTATTTTTAATATTTTGGATCAGTTTTCGTTAGGTAATAATAATAATAGAAAAAAAAAAAAAAAAAGTCAGGAGATATCCATTACCATTTACCACCATATGAAAACCCAACTTGTCCTGGAAAAAAACGCGATATAATCCACCTGGATGCATGAAGTAGTTGTGATGATATGTACGGTTTTACTAACACAGGTCAAATTTGCAAAATTGTGCTTAGGCATTAGGATTTGTTTTACCCTTAGGGGTGAAGGGGTTAAGAAACAAGCTGAAGGCGCTCTGCTAGAATCAGACAATGAACTTGCTGACTGCAACAAACAATCCCTACCTTAGTTTCACATTCTGACCCGTGTAAGATTCGTAGGGTTTCTCCACATGGGTGAATTCAAAGTCAAAGGTCTGGGACTGGGGAGAGTTCTCCGGGTCGAGCTAAATCTTTCACCAGGGACACAAACTCGTGGTGGTTTCCTCGGTCATAGTACAGCTCTGCAGAGGTAAATGGGAAAAAAAAAACAATTAACAAAAGAGAAGATAGAGACTGGAGGCCGCACCGTACCTCCTCTTCATTGGAGGATTATGTTAGAACACAGTATGGATGATTCCATTACTACTACGCATGAAAGAAACTCTTCATAGGGGCAAAAGCTCGGGTATTTGCCCTCCTGAGTCCCCCCTCCAAATCAACATGCTAATGTAATTGTCACATAAAAGCATTTAATTACAAAACCTTATTTTAGTCCCAATGATGGGATCACTGGCTCTCTGTGCTTCTCTATGCTAATGACATTTTTAACCTGTTTTCATTACATATCTTATGTTAGCTCCAGTGAGGTCATTGCTGGGTCTCTGTGCTTCTCTCTGTAATGCAGGCAGATAATGATTGGTGGGAGGGGCCAGCAGGGTGCTGTACATACCTTCCTAAAAACATCACAGCGCCCTGCCTCAGTACTCCTTTGAAGAACCCCCCAGTCCTAATGCAAGCAGTGGGCTGGCTCTTGGGAGGAATTATGCAAATATCAAAATGCCTTGGTGGGTGGATGTCAGTCTGGAGGAGGGGGCGTCCCAAGGCAGGCTGTTCTTGCATGCAACCCACCCTATGCGTTGCCTACATGTAATTCTGAGCATCCATGATTGGAAGACCTGAAATACAAAGAATGAAAGGGGCGGGCCAGGGACAGTCAGGCTGGGGAGAGCTTTACCTCTACGTCAGCGATCCATTCTGACTGCTGTAGGGGGCGGTACGGTGTGCGATAAAGCGCATCACAGAGCCCCCCCCCTTTATTTTGTATGAACTTTATTTTAAAGGTACAAAAGGACACTTTATTTATGACACTGTACAGCAGTGCGTTGTGCTGTGCTGCTGTACAGTAACATGCGATTCTGAACAGTGCGCTGCGATAAAATGCAGCCTGTTCGGTCTGTGTTGTAGTGTGTATAGGAGACACAGAAAACAATGCAGTTGACAGTGGCCCACACACTCTACTGACTACCTGCAATGGATGGTGACCCGCCCATTCTGCTGATTGCCCACACATTCTGCTGACTGCCCCCAATGGATGGCGGCCCGCACATTCTGCTGGTTGCCCCCAATGGATGGTGGCCCGCACATTCTGCTGGTTGCCCCCAATGGATGGTGGCCCGCACATTCTGCTGGTTGCCCCCAATGGATGGTTGCCCACACATTCTGCTGGTTGCCCCCAATGGATGGTTGCCCGCACATTCTGCTGGTTGCCCCCAATGGATGGTTGCCCGCACATTCTGCTGGTTGCCCACAATGGATGGTTGCCCGCACATTCTGCTGGTTGCCCCCAATGGATGGTTGCCCGCACATTCTGCTGGTTGCCCCCAATGGATGGTGGCCCGCACATTCTGCTGGTTGCCCCCAATGGATGGTGGCCCGCACATTCTGCTGGTTGCCCCAATGGATGGTTACCCGCACATTCTGCTGGTTGCCCACAATGGATGGTGGCCCGCACACTCTGCTGGTTACCCACAATGGATGGTTTCACGCACATTCTGCTGGTTGCCCCCAATGGATGGTGACCTGTCCATTCTGCTTGTTGCCCACAATGGATGGTAGCCCGCACATTCTGCTGGTTGCCCACAATGGATGGTGGCCCGCACATTCTGCTGCTTGCCCACAATGGATGGTTGCCCGCACATTCTGCTGGTTGCCCCCAATGGATGGTTGCCCGCACATTCTGCTGGTTGCCCCAATGGATGGTTGCCCGCACATTCTGCTGGTTGCCCCCAATGGATGGTTGCCCGCACATTCTGCTGGTTGCCCCCAGTGGATGCTTGCCCGCACATTCTGCTGGTTGCCCCCAATGGATGGTTGCCCGCACATTCTGCTGGTTGCCCACAATGGATGGTTGCCCGCACATTCTGCTGGTTGCCCCCAATGGATGGTTGCCCGCACATTCTGCTGGTTGCCCCCAATGGATAGTTGCCCGCACATTCTGCTGGTTGCCCCCAATGGATGGTTGCCCGCACATTCTGCCTCCCAGCCTGCGATTCTGTAAGTGACACTTTGCTCAGAAACGGCCGCAGTGAACACACATTAGCTGTTTCCTGTCCTCCTTTGAAGTCCAGAAGACTTCCTCCAGCAGGCCGCCTGTTTACTGAGATTTGCTTGCTGGGGGCCCAAGATCTCCCCCGTCCGGCTCCGGGGAGGAATGATATTTGATGAAGTCCTCATTCTTCTATCAGCGTGAATCAAACAAAGCTACACAAAAGGTGGAACGAGGAAATCGCAGCCAGCTGGGCCGCAACGCCACGGCGGGGGGTAACGCGGCTAACAAAAACAGGCCTGCAAAGCGAAGGGGGGCCTCCTAAAGGGGAACGCTCATGTACTCTCCCATTCAGAGTTGTAACGTTCGTTTTCAATGATTTTTTTTTTAGGGGACTTTATGGTCTTTCAATGCTGTACCATATTGTCTCTATTCTATGCCATACAGACCACTCCATCGCCGCCTGTGTTGTCACTCCGCCTCCATCACCGACGACTGGTGAGCTGGGACCGGTCAGTATTCACATAACTCATGTACAACGCAGGATCACGCAGCGCATAGCCCATGACAACTAGGTATTAGTATTAGCAACTTGAACCTTTCCAAAACTGAGCTCCTAGTTTTCCCCCCCCCAGCCCCCTCCCCCCATCCTCTCCATCACGACCAACAACGCCACCATCAGTCCCACCCCACAAGCCAAAGTCCTAGGTGTCACCCTAGACTCCAACCTATCCTTCCAGCCCCAGATCCAATCGCTGGCGAACTCATGCAGGCTCCACCTCCGCAACATCTCCAAAATACGTACGTTCCTAACCCCAGACACTACTAAACAACTCGTTCACTCCCTTATTATCTCACGTCTGGACTACTGCAACTCCCTTCTCACCGGCCTACCCCAACACAGGCTATCCCCGCTTCAGTCTATCCTGAACTCAGCGGCCAGACTCATCCACCTTACCAACCGCTCCGTATCCGCCACCCCCCTCTGTCATTCCCTCCACTGGCTCCCGGTTGCCCAACGCATCAAATTCAAACTACTAACATTGACATACAAAGCCATTCATAACACTGCCCCAAACTACCTCACCGACCTGATACCCAAATACCACCCTACCCATACTCTTCGCTCCTCACAAGACCTCCTACTCTCTAGCTCCCTGGTCTCCTCCTCCCACGCCCAACTGCAGGATTTCTCCAGGACTTCCCCCATCCTCTGGAACGCACTACCCCAATCCATCAGACTGTCACCTACCCTCCTCTCACCTTCAGGGGCACCCTGAAAACCCATCTCTTCAGGGAAGCCTACCCCACCCTCACCTAACAGCCGATCTCCTCCACTCCTCCTACCACTCCATCCCCCACAGCCATTTCCTCCTGTACCACCTTCCCCTCCCTCCTAGACTGTAAGCTCGAAAGAGCAGGGCCCCCTCGAACCCCTCGTGTATTGTATTGTTACTGTATTGTCTCATGTTCTGTCCCCCACTATAATGTACAGCGCTGAGCAAACCTTTTGGCGCTATATAAACACTGTATAATAATAATATTAGAATAATTGAAATGCGGACTTGCACGGTTTTGGAAAAATCCGGTTTGCGGCTTTTTTTCCCCCAAAGCCTCATTCACACAGATGTACTACAGGTGTATCTACCCACATGGGGATGTACCGGTGCTCCATGCATTCCTCTGCAGGCCGTCCTATTTGATGCATGGACACAGCCATTGCTCCCAATCCAACAGCCATGTAGGTGCACAGCCCTGAGCACACACCGCCTGCATTATGGGCCATGCCCCTGCACAGCTATTAACCACTTCAATACCGGGCACTTCTACCCCCTTCCTGCACAGCTTTCAGCACTGTCGCACTATGAATGACAATTGCGCGGTCGTGCAACACTGTACCCATATGACATTTTTATCATTAATTTTCACACAAATAGAGCTTTCTTTTGGTGGTAATCACCACTGAGTTAATTTTTTACTAAATAAAAAACACATGAAACTTTTGGAAAAAAAAAAAACCCACACTTTTCTTTGCTTCTGTTATAACATTTTGCAAATAAATAACATTTTTTCATAAGTTTAGGTCAAAATGTATTCTGCGTAATTTCTTTGGTGAAAAAATAATAATTGAATTTGTATTTTTTTTCAAATGTTTCAATTTTTTAATACATTTTTTCTTTTTTTTTACTATTTTATTTTTCAGCACACTGTGACCAAAGCAATACAATGTTACCATAGCAACACTGAACTACTCTGGGCAAGTGATCAGGATATTTTTTTTTTAACACATTATGATTGCTAATACTGATGTATTTCATTGATATTTGCAATCATTGTTACTGAATGAAACGGATTCATTCAGTCTTTTGTTGTGATTAACTGTGATTGGGCAAAGCTGATCACATGATACAGATGGGCTGTGATTGGCCCTGTCTGTATCATGTGACTGCTGTGACAGCTAACAACACAATTATATACAATGGGTGGCATGACAGGAAGCAATCCATTGTATACAATTGACACGTGATCTGCTGTGATTGGTCACATGACACTGGCAACTGGCCGGTGTAGTGAAATGTCATTGGCTGTGTCCCGTGGACACAGCCGGTGACAGATCGCATCGCCGCGTGAGTGGCTCGTTTTGACAGGACGTCATATGATGCCCAGTCACAACAGTGAGTATCCCGCCCCGGCCGTCAATCTGCTATAGGCTGGGTGGGAAGGTGTTAAACTGGGAGAAGCAGCTGTGTCCATGCAGCCGCTGCATCCCAACTGACATGAATGAGACTGCCTGCACAGAGATACATGGAGCCCGTGTGGGCAAGCATGACCCCTGTATGAGCGCACACTGTAGTATGCCTGTGTGAACAAGGCCTAAAAATGTGGGTTACATCAGGACCCGCACACACCATCACGTTATAAAATGCACACCTGGTTTCTCCAAAGCAGATCAGGCTTTTACTCCCCTTAGGCTAC